ACACACATATATATATATATATATACACATATATATATATATATACACACATATATGTATTTTTCTCAAAATCTGCAAAGAATTATTTCTTAAATATGATTTAGTTTCTCTTTCAGTCTGTCTGCATTGTTATAAAAACATTAAAAACAATATCTCAAAAAAAAAAAAAAAATTACTTTCAAATAAACCTAAGTGGCCATTGAAGGATTTTTGATGCTTTTGTTTTGTGCTGCTCATCCTGGGTGATTCTCACATACGCATCAAAACATTTCTAGATCAAGCACACCATAGTCATGTTACTTTACTCTTCGTGCTATTACTGTCGTTATTGCTTCTAATTTCAGTCGGTGACTTTCTTTACTGTTGCACATATTTTTCAATCATTTCTCAATCTCAGCATAATTTAAACTGGAATGTGAGCACTAGATTACATCGATGAGAGCTTAATGTTAAAGTATAATTAATGTTAATACTTTTACCTAAACATTATTAAATAAATGAAACACTATTGTTCAAAAGTTTGGGGTCCATAAGATTTGATAAAAAATGCAGTCAAAACACTTATGTTGTAAAATAGTTTTACAATTTGAAATGACTGTTTTCTATTTTCATATATTTTAGAATGTCATTTATTTGAATTTTCAGCAGCCATTACTCCAGTCTTCAGTGAACCTTTCTTATATCTTATTTCTTATTTGCAATTATTTGATCAAAAGAAATTCCTTTGTTTGAAATAAAATCTTTTGTAACATTATAAATGTACCGTCACTGTTGACCAGTTTAATGCTTCATTGCTGGATGAAAGTATTGATTTAAAAAAAATCTTACGGACCCACAAATTTTGAACGTTATTATTAATTTAAGCAATAAGTTACTATATTGTAATTATAGTCACAACTAAAAGGCAGTGTTGCTAGACTGCACACTCCTTTTAAGTATTAAGCATGTGAATGCAGGGGCTGGCATCCCACTAGCCAGTTTTTCAGCAAATTTACAGGTAGTTTGATGTGTGTGTGGCCGCATCCCTCAGCAGGTGGATTCTAATAGCCTCGGTGACTCAACATCCTGCGGAGATAAAAGTGCCCCTATTATGGGTAATGAAAGGTTCATATTTTGGTTTTGGGAGTCCCCAACAACAGGTTGACATGCATGCAAGGTCAAAAAACACTTTCATTGTCTTATAATATGCATTTATTTTTACCTTACTTGCTCAACGACTCCCAAACGATTCGCTCAACTATTCATTTTTCCAAACCCCTCCTTTGTGTGATGCTAATCTGCGGTGATTGGTCTGATTGGTCTCATTTTCATTTCATCATGCCTGTAATGCCTGATAAAGCAGCGTTTGTGAGCGCAGTGCTGATTTGTGTACAGCGTTACCGGGGAAACCGCTATTTTTACTGCTCCAAAAGCGCACCTAGTGGCAAAGATTGAATTTGCATTTTCATTCAGACCAACGCGAAAAGACCAACAAGTGGGCGGACAATATGCTAATATTTCATGTTGACGTCAACATGAAACTGCTTGGGATTCGTTTTAAAAACGACTCGTTTCAATGATTCAGAGTCGACTCTTTCTTTTGAGAGACAATAACTGTATACACGGTGCACTTTCAGATTTAAAATTTTGCAGGATGTTTTCATTCACTTAGGGCTGTGTTACACACTGCATGAAAGGTCATTTTCAAAAATCCATAATAGGGGCACTTTAATGGCCCTGCTAGTCTCTGACAATATCCAATATGTCTGATTTTATCTCTCAGTCGGACATTCGTGGCCTAGGAATTGACCAGTGGAAAAAGTCCTGTTTGGATCTGGCAATTTTTTTCCCAGCAACACTTTAAGACTAATTGTTTTCCATTGTGAGTGTGTAGCAACACGTTTTCAGGAGTTTTCCTACATTGCATCTACGACAAGACCTGGATGGATAAACGAAATCTCACTCATTCACAGGGCAAGGTAAGTCAGAGGCAGTGATTTAACCTGTTAACCACCTTCTCTTGTTAACCTGTGCATGTGAGAGAGCTCTAAC